AAAAAAAAAAGGATTGAAAATTGATGGGACGTGACATCGGATTTGATCCTCAGTTTCGCGCTCCACCGTATACATGCCTATACGAAACGAGTGTAATCCTCTGTTTCGCGCTCCACCATATACATGTCTATACGATACGAGTGTGTGTTAATTAAACAGTAAAAATCCCAATAATTGTATTGTAGGTATCGATAGAGTGAAATTCTTTGTATTCAGATGATGTTCAAGTGAGGCCGTTCATGTATTTTGAAAAAAAAATAAAATAGATATGGATTGCGAACTAATGTATAAATATTCTCACTACATAATTTTCAAATTTATTTATCATGACACTTTTGTAATCCCTACACATCGATTTAAACTGTTCCGTAGTTTTATGTGTCAGTTATGGTGGTTTGGAGTAGAATATAGACCTTTTTATCTATGTCTATTATTTTTTTAATTTTTTTTAGAATAATCGATTAATTAAAATCATAAACATACTTTAATAATCGATAACATTAATTAATATTTGTTATCATTTTTTTTTCATTTATAGTACGCCAGATTAATCATCACCTGATGAGTTTCAGTTTGACATCTATACTACATATACATATAAATATATATTTATCCCTCTAACAAAGATTATATTGCTTATCAACATTAATTATTACTAATACCCATGTTAACATGGGTGTTGAGTTAATGAATATATGTGTAAAGTTATTTATGTCTAATACCATACTTAACTCAAAAGCAAAAATAATAATAAAAAAAAACAATATCACGAAGTATAGATTTTCGTCATGTCAGTATTCGAAGCGTGAGAATCAGTCACCTAGACTCAACACATTTTGAATATTAATATATAGGTAGCGATAAGCAAACAATAAAATGACCCATGCTTATAATAAGAAAACTTGGTAATATCTTTTTGCTAAGTATAAATATTGTTTTAGTACACGCACGGTGGCACGGGTCAATATAATTATTAATATGCAAAAACAGAACATAAACACGTGTTTGTGACTCCACGGGCGAAATGAAAATTATCTGATAATTAATAATAATTTCGAGGTCGGTTGGACTATGAAGGTAGACCTAATTAATTACTAACCAATAATGATTCATAACATAAGAAGTGAGTTATCTTAATCCCTTCATAATCAGTTAATAATTAGGTTGTTAATCAGTCATTTCATTTTCCACATAATAATATTCTTAATTTATTCAATCATATATTATCTTTCAATCACAAATTCTTGTGTGAGCCAATCTAATCGAATCAATGCGTTAAATTGACATTTCGAATATGACATCTTATACTAAGGCTATGTTTGGTAGACCAATAAGTTAGGTTATAACTTATTTGATTAGCTTATAAGCAGTAAGCTCCCTGTATTTAAATAAGATCCATTTGGCAGGACAAACTTATTTAAAAAGCTCGAGCCTATTTGATAAACTTTTTTTTGTAGTTTTTTAAATAAGTTCGTTAAAATTTTTATTTTCAACTAGTTTATCATCTAGTTTCACCAAACATAGCAAATGTATCCATATTTTTAAATAAAGTATGCAACTTAATAGTAATATATAGTTCCGTCGATCTAATAGAGTTAGCGTACCTACTATTTTTCAATAGGCTACATCTAACTGTTAGTCAACCGTTTTATTTTTATTTTTTTCTTCACAATTATACATAATTAAATACTCAACATGATACTTTAGAAACAACTCTAGTATGATTCCAAAAAAAAAAAAAAATCTAATAAAATATGACATTTTACTATATAATGTAAATTTATATATTCTGGTAATAAAATTATAATGAATCAATTTATCTAAACGTTAGACTACTCTACAGCTGAATTCTATTCATGGTAGTGTTTGTCATACACTTGGAGCCGGTATCTGTATTTAGAGAGTTTTTACCATTGAATACACATATAGTTAGTATAAGATAGATGATTCAACGATTAAAACTCCTTACGAATCCGTAACGGGTCTATAACATTTCCCATGTATTTATCATACAAAGTACACATTATTATGACTTTATTTAGGGCAATAGTGCCAACCACAAAAAGGGTACTTTTTGCTAATTAGGGAAAACCTAATTACCAACGCCGTAACGAGAAAGTGATAAGGGCATCTCCAATGGTAATAGTTATTACTAGCTATATGGCCAGCTGACGTGGATGTGAGAGATAAGAAAAATAACTATTTTATACTATTGGACCCACAACTCCTCTCACATGATCTTGAGGTACGTGAAATAGATAAACTATTTGTTAGTAGCTAGTGACTACTCTCTCTCCTACTTTTCTCCTGTCCACGTCATAATAGTTAGCCAAATAGCCAACCATTGGGAACACCCTAAAGTATCACAAATTCTTTAAAAAAAAAAAAATCACAAATTCTGCAATGTCCCATGAAGAATGACTGTCACATGTCGAAGTGTGCTTTCATGATTTTATGCTATTTGGAGAAGTGTGCTTTCTGTTGGACCCTATTGCCTCATGCATTGTTCAAAATATTGTAACCCACCAGTCTGGTAATATCGATAACATTGCTAAAACATAACAAAATATCATTGTAATTCATGATTGAACTGATACCATAGCATATAGGAAAATGCTAAAGTCCCGTTACGGAATCATCTCGTCGAAATTTGTAACAGTTAGACTATCATGTAATCGTCAGATATAGTTGATCTAGTGATTACAAACTCCGACGGAGTGATTCCGTAATGAGACCGTAGCATCTTCGCATATCATAAACACCTATCCAGAAATAGTCAAGAAATAAAAAAATAAAAAATAAATTGATTTTTATTTTATTTTTATATTTATTGGGAAAAAAAAAAGAATAAAAAAATTTGAGCTGGGGAAATGACTTTTCACCAAACTGTTGTTGAGAATTGAGAGGCTGGGCCTGGCGGTCGGCAGAGAAAATGGGCTAAAAAAGGGTTAGAAAAGACGTGGAGTATTAAAGATTAGTTAGTATAATTATTGGTCGTCTAATACTACAAATTAATCTTTAAATATTTGTATTTATTCGACTAAATAAGATTATCTGCTACGAGAAACTGATATTGAAGCAGCCCTTTGATGTGAGGGTGACTTGTCTGAAGAAAGGGGAGATAATCTAACTAATCATCAACTAGATTGCTCAATAAATGTTTTTAAATGACTTCGAAATTTCATTAGTATATATGGTTGTTATGACCACGTCTTACAGTACAACAACTACAAAACATTAAATAACAAGTGTAAGGAATTGATATAGAAGGTACATTTCAATCTACTGTGGTGCAGTAATCGAATTTTTTACTGTTGGATCAACACACGTGTAGGTATGTATGTGTTTGCCGACAGCAATTTATTTGGAAAACAAGTTTATTTACTACATTGAATTCTTTTTAATAATCTTATACTAAAATATTGCTATTTTGCGTTTTTCCAAAATTAGCGTTTTGGACCCAAAAGCTAATCAAAAAAGCTTCTTGACCAGACGAGCAAATTAACAAATATGATTGGCCAAACCTCTAAACGAGATTCATTCCGCCAAGCAATTTAGCACCAATACCCTAATAAACAATCAAAGTCCTATTGTCAAATATAATGCTGTTGTCCGTTTAATTGTTTAAAGCATGACCTAAGATATTGGTTATTTAAAGTATGACTTTCAATATAAAAGTAAACATTTCGGTTTAACTGTAAAATGGATTGGATGGTTGTGGAGAGGTTATTGTTAAAATATCACTTGTGAGTTGTTCCACATTGATTCTATAGGGAAAATGAGCCTAGGAAATGAGCCTAGTATATAAGCCTAATGTGCTACTCTACCATCACCAATTGGTTTTAGGATGGAATCTCACTGAAGTGCATCTAGGCTTAATGGTGCGCTTCATCCGGTAAGACCGCACCCTCTTCCCCCGATTCTCTAAACCTTACAATTATCTAGTTAATTAAGAACAACAAAATGCACCAATAACCAGTGACAAAATCATGTGTAGGAACTTCACCATCAATACCTTCTAAGAACACATATCAATACCTTCTAAGGACATGACATATTGACATTATCGATTCCCGCAAAATCTCAAATGTTGTAATTTATTCAAATTACATGTAAGTGCACGCAATTATTTAAGATTATTATCGAGTTCCAGTAGAATGTTGTGATTTATTCAAATTTTATCAAATCGGGTCAAACAATAGAGATACAATAAGATTTATTCTCCAGAAAATAAATTCGAGCAAAGTAAAAGTTGCGACGCCACGATTAACAACTCAAATTAGCAGTCACCTTAATATCTGTTGATAAGATTCTTCCAAGCATCCTTGTTTTCAGAATAGTACTTTATCTCAGCCTGCAAAGTCAGGCAAAAATGTAAGCTTCTGTAACTTTATCTGACCGAGGCACATATTTAGTCGGCGCTAATTTTAACAGTCGTATATCGCTTTAAACCAAAATTGGCACATTGGCATATAAACATATGCATTAAATAGTTTTGTTACCTTCCTAATCCCTTTGATTGCAACCAAAAGCTTTTCACCAATTAAATCTCTCATAACCGAGTCTTTTTCCAGGGCCTCAACAGATTCTGAGAGGGATTGAGGTAGCCGTTGAACTCTATCTTTGACATTGTCAGGATTATCATCTGCCAGCAAAGAAAAAAAAAAAGAAAGAAAGAATGAAAAACACCCACGTCTATTGTCAATAGAATGTGAAAAATGACGATTTCTGAGCACGTAAGGTGGTCGTGTTAAAGGACCATCAACTCAGATGAGGAGATTTCAATATAAGACTCTCAAGTGTCCATAACACAAATACATAAACTGTGCGGAACTTTGTAATTAATAAGCAATCCTGAGGTTTGGATCAATAATAATAACAATAAAAAGAATTAATTTGGAAGACGACAAAAAATATCAAAGGGGCTTTATTCCGTTTTCATTGTACCCAACCGGTTAGTTGATATAGTGATATGGTGGTATTAGCTCATGGCACAACAACGTATATGTTTACAGTTCCACTACTCAAGCTTTTTAAAATATTACAGAGTAAGATTCAGGAAGTAAACGGGTGCAATGTAATATATTGATGAAAAGTAGAGGCTGTTTGAAAATTTATAAGACACATATATACCATGTCACAAGAAAACAGCACCCCCTTGTTCATCACTTATCAGTGTAACTTAACACCGAATAACACATCAGCCACAACACTAATGATGTGTTTGGTAAGCATATAAGCTAGCCTATAGCTTATTTGATTAGCTTATAAGCTTCCTTTATTCAAATAAGCTTGGTTTGGTAGGACGAACTTTTTTAAAAAGCTTGAGCTTATCTCATAAGCTTTTTTGGGTAGCTTTTCAAAATAAGGCCATTGAAATTTTTATTTGAGTTAGCTTATCAGCTAATTTTACCAAACACACTTTTCTCATATAAGTTAGCTTTTCAGCCATAAGCTGCTCGAAATTCACTTATCAACTAGGTTTACCAAACATCCTAAAAGAACATATACCGTGTCAATGTTTTAGAAGTCACTTATTCTTACCGATTGGTTCGGGCAGGCTCAACTGTCTGCGTAGGCCATCTATTCCAGCGGCAATTATGGCAGCTAGGCCCAGATAAGGATTTGCACAGCCATCAAACACCTTTATCTCAAAATTGCTTACGTGGCCATCTGGGGTCCCAGGTGGGCACGCAGTTCTAAGAGGAGCTTCTCTATTTTCCGTGCCCCAGCACAGGTATGCCCCACTCCATGTGTTGGGTTGTATACGATCATAACTGGAGTTTGTGAAATTTTCAAAGAAAAAAAATCAGATGCAGCATTTTTCTTCATTAACATCCAAGGAAATGAGCTGACCATATTTAATTGATCAAGAGAGGTGATTATTTCTAACTTGTAATGCCCATATTTTCCCAATTTTTTCAAGTCCAGACAATTTCAGTAAACAAAAAAATAAGTTTTTCATAGGTCCATATAATTTATGATATTATCAATTGAACAAAATGTATTGTATTAACAATCCAAATCATTCGTAACAGCTTTTATATGTATCTGGAATCACCACTAGCTTCTTTTGTCTACTCAAGCAAATTTGTTAGTACAATTTTTATCGTTCAATACTTCTACCTATGATGTCTGACAAACTCACTTCCAACATGCACCTAATTTTTCTAATTGGTACATATCATCTTGATGTGCCGTGAAAAATCATCAACCGTGAATAAAGTTTAGAGAGTGTTACCTATTTGGGACTGGTGCTGTAAATGCCAATATCGAGGGGAGATGATTCAACACGCCGGACATGAACGCCTCCCCAATTGTAGAAATCCCATACCTAGTTGCTCCGTTTCGTGCCATAAACACATTTTCTCCATTCTTAGACAAACTTAAGTGCACATGTGAGCCAGAGCCAATATCATCGAGATCATATCTATAAAAGAAAACAATCATGTCATCACAATTTTTATTTTTTGGTGACGGTATACTGAAAACAAAGAAAACAGAACTTTTCCTCGAAGATAGGCTCAAATCATCACTGTCAGGTTAATGCAATAAATTTATTCGAAGATATTGAAATTTAATTTCACGAGAGGATTATTATTGTTTTCTTATTTTGTGAAAATGAGTTCAAAACGCCTTAAATAGTCCTACAACATTTGAAAATTATTGACAACTATAGTGATAGCACTCTCATATCAAAAAATGTTGTTTGTAAAGTCTGCAATATGTTTTTGCATCCCCTTCCTTGGACACTGGAAAGAAGAGATGACTAGTTAAATATAGGTGCACCATTCTGACCTGAGTACAAAGAATCACAGATAATAGTGATATCATGCATACTGAAAAAACAATAATGTACTAAGAGCTTCGTCTTCCATGATCCAGAGTATGATAATAGCTTGTAAAATTTAGCAAAGCCATGGACAAATACAAGAACATTATGTTTATTTAATTTACAACGACTCCATGAATAATCAGAAGTTAGAATAGCAAAAATAAGCACCTCAAATCACAATGAAGATCGTCAAATAGCAGTAAAGGTAGCTATTACAATCTTTGTAAGAAAAAATCAAGAAAAAAACACCAAATGCAGTTTTTAAAGAAATATCAATGCAATTTTATAAGTAACATAGTAACATCTGGAGACCTACTTGGGGACAAAAGTAGCCAATAGCCCATGTTTTCTGGCGACAGACCGAATAACTTCACGTGTGTAAACCAAGTTGTCAGCAGCTTTTTCACAGGTAGTGTACCCCAATGCGAGTTCAAATTGACCATGCCCAGCTTCTGGATGCAGCTACAAAATTTCAAAAGCTGAACATAATGGACTAGTTTCTGAAATGTCACAATTATTTTTAATTTCGAGTTCTTCAAAAAGTTTGAAAGCAAAATAAAATTATATACCAAGTACATCTAGTTTAAATATACAATAACACTAATATATATAGAGAGGGAGGGAGTCCCGGAGTAGAAGATCCTTGCGCAAGTATCTTTATATACCTGTTCCACTACAATATTCAAGGACTGGAGACAAGTCACAATTTCATTAAGTACAGGAAAAGCAGCATCAAATGCGGACGTTGAGCAGTAAGGAGTTGCATCAAATGGGACCCATTTTTCTGTCCCATCCCTAGAAAAGTTCATCACAAGACACAATCAAGTCGCAGTTCACAAGGGTAAATTAGAACAATGAATAAATCAAGTGATTTTGACTTACACTATCACAGTCCTTAAGAGATAAAACTCGTTCTCAAATCCTGCATTCATTACCTGCACAACTAGAACTTTCACATAGGATTGCATAAAGATAAACAGTTAAACTCAGCAAATCAGATATTACCAAGTTAAAATCATCTTTTAGAACTTTTGAAACTCTTTTCAGAGTCTCTCTGGGGCAATACTCCCATGGAATTCCAGGTTTACTGTGCATGTCAGCTAGAACCATTTCCTGTTCTTTTGCCCTGTCACATAGATAATGTAAAGAAACCGAGTGCCCTAGCAACAAGGGTATATACTTCTACAAGGATTTTTCAGATTAACGGGTACATATAAATTTAGTGGAAAGCAAAAGAACCCAACATTAATCCTTCCGATCAATAAAACAAGAAGTACTATACCAAGGAATTATGCTTTTGGTTGATAGATCAGGAATGAGTCTGATTTCACCCACTCCACTAAGATTGGTTCCATCAGCAGGACCATCCATGTGGGAAGACATCCCCATAGATGCGCAGGTTAAACCAACACCATTCTTCGTAACAAGATCATGAAAACGTTTTTGAGGAACCACCTGAAACATAATCAGACCATAAAAAATACAGTTGATTCTATAAGAGAATCATTTAAGGTTGGCAACAACCAGAGATCAACAGAAACCAACTCGAATCATTGGGCATCTACGCCAAATGAGTGAAAACATAGATAGATCATAAAAACAGATTGTGCATTATTGTCCAGCGGTTATGTATCAGCTTTTCGACAAAATAGTGTTGGCACTGTCAGTCTAACAAGGAAAAGATGTAAAAAATAATAACAACAACAACAACAACAACAACAATAATAATAATAATAATAATAATAATAATAATAATAATAATAATAATAATAATAATAATAGAAAATAGTTGGGTTTTCAAAGTCTAAGAGTGTTATTATTTTTCATAATGACCATCATGATTTTAAATAATGTCCTGAAAGCTTATAGGTCAACTTTCTTATGACAGACGAAGTTTACTAAAACCTGGACCATGCAATAAATGAAGAAAAGTGGAAACAGAGCTACCAGGGAATAACAAGAGACTCACGCGGCATCTCTGCTGTCCAGAACCATCAACCCAAATCAAGCGAATATATGCAACATCTGGAGCAGAAGCACTTATGCCGAGCTTCACTGAGGAGCATGCAATGTTGTTCAAATTAAACAATTCTAGATCATGCTTAATTTTGTACAGCTCTCTTGCATTTTCAGAAAATATCTCTTTAGCGGCTTGGACAGCTTCTGGAACTGAAAGATCTCCATCTATGCACGAATCACGCAGAACAGCAAAAACAATCTCGCGTGCTTTCTTTGCACCTGTTAAGGCAGTCACATCAAGATTTAGCAATATAGAGTCATTACTTTTGACTGGAAAATACGCTGTACGGTGTTCAAATGATGTTAATTAAACGGGATATAAGCTAGCAATAGACCAAAAAGGAAGAGATATCAAGCAATTAGAGTTAAAATCAACCTAAGTAGAAACTCTCAGGAAAACCACAGCCATCAGTGCTGAACATCACCTGCAAATTGCAATATATTTTGCAGCATGTAAGGAAAACATTTGTGAGAAGTGAAGTTCTCTAATGTGAGATCACACTGGATAGTGAAACACGTATAGTGTTCCACAGAAGCCCCATCTGATACCGCAAAGTATAATGTTAAAAACAATATCCTATAGCCATGACATCAACCTTCTTTATTGGTGCCAACTCTAAGAGCTCTTTGACTGATGATAGCATCCCATGAAAGCTAAGTTTAGGCACTGCCAGCCCAAAGTCCAGAAAGACCTATGATGAACAGTGTCGATTAGAAGATTCAGGGATAAGACCTGTCTGATTATTCGCAACAACTTCTGTATCATACCTGAGGGTACACAGAGGCCAGGTATGATGCTTCTTTTGAAAAAGGGTATGATGCATGTAGCAAAACAAGTCGGCATTTGCTGAATCTTCTGTCCTCAAGAAGTTTACGAAGATGAAGGGGATTGCATAACCGTAAATCAAGATCTGTGTCCCCAAAACTACAGGAGCAATAGAGCAATTAGTACTGTATTTTTTGTGACAATATATTGTTTGAACTATTAGTAAATGTTTGTTGATCAATCAAAAGAGATGTAGAAAAAAACATAGAATCTTGAGACAGCTGCCACTTTCTAGAAACCTAAACAAACAATGAAACCTTGGCAATCTCCATTAATGTAAACTAATTGTTCAGGATGAAATCTCTGACTTAGATAAACTAAAAAAAACCACCCCATTACCCTGTGTGTATCTGCACCGGCAAGTCAAAGCATTGGGCAACCTCCAACGCACGGATGAAGATGTGATCAATAAAGTTTTTATTTGTGATGCGAACAGGTTTTCCAGCTGGAAAAGCATAATATCAAAATGATGCGATCGCAGATATTAAAACAAATAATTTATTCAAAGCATACCTCGCAAGACATCCTTCAAGCCCTCACTGGCGTCCATTTGCGAGACATTTGAATTAATTTCAAGTCCACTGCGGTATGCAGCTATACTTTTAAAGCCAATGATTTTGTCAGCATGCGTACTGAATTGATAAGGAAATCATAGCGAACTTAAACATTCTTTCTACATAAATAATCGTCAAAAAGCATTTAAGAAAAACACATAAAGGAGGCCAGAAGGATATGACTTTAAGTTATCCACAAATGTTTCTGTAAATGACTCCAGTGTCCATTCACTTCCATCTGGACTGCCCTGATCGGAGTTTCAGGGAAGAAAAGAAAAAAAGGAAGCATAAGTATCATGGGCCCAAGAGTACGGATATATTAGTGTGTCAAGTAAACAACTAAAAGTGAAGTAATATAATGCCAGAACCACCACCAAGATAACATGTGAAATCACCACCACCACCACCACCATCGTTATCGTCATCCTCATCATCATCGTCGTCGTCGTCGTTGTTGTCGTTATCATCATCATAATAATAATAATAATAATAATAATAATAATAATAATAATAATAATAACAACAACATGGATTACTTGGTCGAACAATAACAAAACAATGATACTATCACTATGGTTGGGTTAGTATTTCCATCAGTAAATATGTTAATATGAAGCTGTGCGATATGCGTTTAGCCTTTTGTTATTTACTCAGCCATGTCTTGTTCACCAAGCAGCGATCAGAAAAAGAAGACATATATATTCATTAAGGAAATTTGTGCTCATGTATTGACCACAACACTATATCTACCTCATCCAGAATCTTCTCGGCCACGCGTTCGATCCTTAATATTCTACCAACAAACGGAACAAATTTCTTGTGCCACTCAAGTTCCAGCTTCTTGTCCAGCTCAAGCCCATCATCAATGAATATGGCGTTGATTCTAGCAGCTTTAAGGCACCTCTCAGTCACTGATTCCACTCCAGATCTGGACCGGTACTCTTGAACAGCATCCAGTGATAAATCAGACCCGTAAAGCTCAGCAATCTCTCTCAGGCTTCTCTAATCGTATTGAACAACAAATCTCTTAACAACTCATCAATATAAATAGCCATCAACAAAAAATCAACAATCAACAAAAACAACAGTTGCAGGACTTGGTTGCGAACATGAATACATAAACTATGAGAATATGCAAACACGACAGCAATCTGAACTCTACAACGCCTTTACCAGTAGAACTACAAAGTTGACCTGACAGCGTCTATAACACCATTGTCTGAGTCGAAATCAATGATTCACTATCATAACACGTCGAGATTTACGTTAACATATAGAAACACGCGGTTGCGATAGCCGATGAGCAGAAACGCTTTTTCACCTTGAAATTAATGGTGTGCGGTGCGTAGGACAGGGCTTCGCCGGCGGCCTCCGAGAAGCAGCTGAGGAAGGGGAAGGTGGAGTCCGCCGCAACAATGTTGTGCGCGTGGGCGTCGACCAGCTCCGCCGTGTCAACCGCAGTTTTCAGCGCCGCGAATTTATCCATAATCGCTCTCTCCAGCTGCAGATTTGACAGAGAAGAATGTGCCGGTGCCCGGTGGACTGTATGAAAAGGTGAGAGATTTATTTGAAAAATTCACTGGTCAAGTCAAAGCCTGTTATTGGTAGGTAAAGTACATCCCAAGTCCAACTCCCATGTCATTAACCATTTAGAGCCTTGTAATGAAATTAAACTAGTATTTGATCATGTACATTTGCACAAGTATAAAATACGTTTTTTATTTGTATTTATTAAATAGACATGTACTTTTATAATATAAAAATTATTTTTTTTTAAGTTATTTTCATCATTCAAAATTGATTGAGATTTAAATTTTATTTTAACCATGCAACGTTTAAAATAATTTATATATTTGTGGCATATATTAAAAAAATTAACATAAATAAAAAAATTATTAGTGTTTTTGAGAAAAAAAAAAAAAAAAATGTGCCAATCATATTTTTCTTCCAACAATGCAACCAAATATAGCGGTTACAACTCTGAATGTGTCAATCAACTTTAAGTTCCAAACATTAGTCGTTACACATTTGAATATTTTGCTATCAAATTTAGAATTAATTTAGTAACTGATCCAAAAAATAAATAATAAAAATATATATTAAGGTGTAACGGTTTTAGCAGATTATTGAGTAATTAATTAAATAAAATATAACTCTTTTTGGAGGGAAATGAAAATAGGTTTTATTAAATGTTTATTAAATGCATCAGCTAGTAATTATATATATAGATAGATTAGGTAATAACAAAACTTGACCTATTAATTTTTATTAGAAATATACATACTTTATAAAACTGATATTATTTAAGTCGCTTTTCTATGAATTACAAATATTTTTTTTTCTAAAATCGATCTATCTATTAATCTATAAAGAGCCAATGATATTTACTTGAAGTAGCAATTAAAAATCAATAAAAAAATGATTTCCCGCCTAAAGTATTTACTATATTGGGTAATATTTCTGGCCAAAATTTGAAAAATCTCGCGTAAATTAATGTAAATAATGTACAAAACCATTTGGTCAAATATTCCGGCTATTAACTTTATTAGTTGCATGATTTTAATTTGAAATATAATATATTGACAAAATGAGAGCTATTACTTTTATTAGTTGCATAGTTTAAATTCGATATATATTTATTGAAAAAAAAAATAAAAAGATTTTTATAAAATTAAAAATAAAAAAAATAATTATTTATAATTTTCATATCAATATTAACTTAGACGTAAACAAAGTAGTCAATTATTTATAATTTAATAAATTATTCAATAACATAAAGGTCAATATTAACTTGAACGTAAATGAAATAGTCAATTATTTTTGGCATGATTGGTATGAGGGATGACATGAGAATATAATGATCATTCTCTTACTCATTCATTATCTCATGATTGGTATATTTTTTGGAAATGAATGACCATTCAAATGGGAATTACAGACTCATCTCCATGGGATCAGCCATTCCATAGTTCATAGAAGGTTTTCTCATTCTCATGTGTGCAGGAATCAATTTTTCAAAAAATAAAATTTTATCAAATAATAATAAAAAATAATTATATAATATATATTATAAACAATGATTAAAATATATTAAATAAAATTATTTTAAAAAATAAATTTAAATAAAAATATTGAAAACATACTTTTATTTGTTGTTTAATTAGACATATTATATACTTATACAAAAATAAAACTAAAAAAAAAACATTCATATATAATTTGAAAATATATTATTATAAATATATATTATTGAAAATATATTACTTTTATTTTTATATATTATACATAATATATTATTTTAAAAAATAAAATTCAAATAAAAAAATTAAAAACTTACTTTTCTTTATTGTTTAATTAAAAAATAAAAATATATATTATTAAAAATATATTACATTTATTTTTATATATTATTTTTTATATATTAAAAATATATTACTTTTAAGAATATATTATTTATTAAATATTTCTGAAAATATTATTTTGTATATTATTAAAAAATATATTTTATTAAAAATATATTATTTTTTTATATTATTAAAAAATCATTTATATATAATTTATTAAAAATATATTATTTTATTAAAAGAGCTTTTATTTATTTTTATAATAAAAAATGATAATGTCATTCCATTCAGGTCTTATTCATTATGCATATCAAGCGCATCAATGACAAAACTTGTTTCATTCCATTCCCGTAATCATTCAATTTATTTTATTCCTATGACATTCCGTTCCATTATACAAATCATGTAATTACAACTTAATATATTACTCAACTACTTATTTTTTTATTCGAATAACTTATACAAAAATGATTATTTTGAGTAATAAGACGATCATAAATTTTATATTTATACTTATTATCCACATAGACTGTTAAATATATGATAACATTTTACCAAAATAACTATTTTATGAAATCACATTATAGTCAAATCGAATTTCTGAATAAAAATTTTGAAACGATACTTATTTTGAAACGAATATAATGTGATTTATTATCAGTTATGTGCACCACACTGATTCTGTATAAACTATATATTCATTCTCCAAATCCAAGCGTAGAATCTAGGTAGCCACATCTCTACCCTCGAAACTATATCTTGCAATCGATCTCTATAGTTATACACATGTCGCCGAGTAGCGTTGTCTTCCAGATGTTTTTCCTGGATCGTAGCCAAAATTACTGTTAGTTTTGCTTGAGCAACAGCCATATTACGTACAGTATCTTTAGATGAAACGCTAAGTCTGCTTAACTGTCGATAACCCTCAGGATATAATCAGTGCATGATTATGGATTACCCTAAGGCCAGGACTTACACGGATCCCCCTAGATGTAGATCGTGCCACCTGTTGGACTGCTATCCGAAATGGGCAATTGCACGCTTTAGTCTTTGAACTTTTGGCAACTCGTCTAAATCTCCAAAACTGCCTCTGTAACATTCACCT